AGCAAGACTGGGGTTGCGTAATCTGACATATCTGGTTAATTTGAAGAGCTTAATGTAATATTTTGGGTGAGAACGACAAACGAATCTCTTCATCATGTACTTTCATTCGAAGTGAAGGTCCCCCTAACAATGGATTTTTTTTGTTTTGATATACACTTGGAGTTCTCCTGACTTTTAAAGGAATAAGGAATATTTCAATTGCCTAGCGTCCGTATGTTTTAGACAACATTTCACATCATTTATGCTTTGTGTCACGTTCACGTCGAGCACAATTTACTCGACTAAGGCAAACAAGTAAACCTCATCAGACTTTCGCTCAGTTTATTTCGACATGTCAAACGATTTGCTTACAGTTCTTTGTTTTCTTCAAATCTACATTTCTAAAGACGCACTTTCCATTCGTTTGTGCGACGAATAACTTGTTGTATAGGCTACCCTGCTCGATCTTTTCCAATTCCCATTCACACTCAACTGGGCTGGGCATACAAGTTGTGATCACATCTTCCATCTCGCCTGCACGAACAGGCCGCTTGCGCCGTACATTCTCCTCTTTCGCTCTCGTAATTCGGCGGTCGCGTTCGATTCACTCGTTTCGCTTGCCACTAAATGGTGGAATGACATTTGGTACGAGGTACAAGTTACGCATAGATGACTGTCGCTAGGGGCAACCTCATGTCTCCTGCCGACTCGACTGGGTACCAGTCCGAACGTGCGACGCATTTCCTCCACTCGCTTGCGTCGGCGTCCGTCTCTGCTCAGGCCAGAAAGTCGCCCAGTCGTCTCAGCATGTCACTCTCGTCCGCCGGCAGACACAGACTCTCGACCAGCCCGAAGTGGTCCTGGCCTCGGGCGCAAAACTCGTGCACACCGTCCGCGTCGGGCCGGTCGGCCCGAAGCGAGGCGGCCATCAGCCGCGATTGCCGCTTGAACATGGGACTGTCGTGCTCGGCCCATGCGACCAAATAGCTCACCCTGTCCGGCATTCGGCGGCCTCGTGGGCCCGCCGGTACCAAACCGATCGAGTCCGGCAGCGGCGTGGCGAGCCGACGGACTGTCTCGCGGCAACGGTCGTCGTGGCGGTCGAGAAACCAGCGCAACGGACTCGAGCGCCAAGCGGCCAGTTCGTCTTTGAACAGCCGACCGGATCGGTTCACGCTCGTCTCGACCAGCGGCCGGAGGTCGTAGATGCCGGAGAGCAGGACCATCCGATCCAGGCAGGCCAGCCAATCAGCGTCGGCCGGCAGGCCGGACTCGAACCCCACCAAACCGGCCGTCAGCGCCAGATGCGCGCCGGCCGAGTGCCCCATCAGACACACTCGCAACTCGTCCCTCGACGCCGTCGACTCTTCTGCCTCGCCGGCCAGCTCGCGCTGCCTCCGTCTCGTCCAGGCGACGACGCGACGCAAGCCGACGCACACTCGCCTCGTCATCTCCTCCACCGATTGCCATGGCGACAGGAGGTAGGAGAGACTGGCGAAGCAACAGTTGGGCCGGTCGGTGATGCGCTGGGCGAAGTGGACCGACTGCTCCAGACTCAGCTCCTGCCAGTAGCCGCCGTGAAGGTAGACGACGAGTTGGCGGATGCCGGGGCCGGTATCGTCGGGCGGGAACCAGTCGAACTCCTCTTCGCCGCGCGGATTCGAGGGCCGCCGCCGCCGCCGGTGGCCATCGTCTCCTGCGCAACCCGCCTCGGGTGTGTCGAAGTCGTCGTGGGCATAGGAGACGGAGAAGTCGGCCCTGGCCGCGGCCGACGAACGCGACTGTCTGCTCCACAGAGTCAGTTGGCGAACATGTCTCGCCAGCAGTTCGTCGACCGTCAGCGACTTGTCGACGAGAACCGGAATGCTCCACTGGCTCGGCGAGTAGTAGCGCTCCAGGCCGATGTCGGACGCCAGCCTGCACTGCTCGTCTGGCCGGTTTGCTTGTCAATTGCGAAAAGATACTCATCAGATTGCACCCATTTCGCACCACTCGTGCATCACGTGATAAATGTGGCCATGTACCTCGGTTTCGCGACTTGATCTCGTTGCCAGGACGACTGAGTGGAAGACACCCTGACCGAACTCTTCTGTCATGGTAGCTATCATAATTTCCAGCATCAGAACGTGCACCGGTTTTCGGGAGAATGTTGATCGAGGGATTGACTACGATGCCGGCGGAACGTCTGAGAATGTACCAAGTCGGCGGTCTGAACCTGGGAATTACGAGAACTACTATGGCAGAGGATTTTGGATAAGGTGAGTTCGCGCTGGTAACAGGATCAAGATGTGAAAACGAGGTCAACCCACTTCTGGAAACTAGGGTGTCCATGAGTATTGAGGATGAGAGTTTTTACGTCTACTTTTGCTAGGTTTCACGTCTAAAGTGCTTGGACACAATGCAACTTTGCAGCCACAAATTCCTCTACATACATTTTATTAAATAAATGATGAGCTAAGATAGGCCAGCCATTTAAAAAGCGCAATATTTTAGACATAAACTTATGACACCTCTTTGGGTTTTCATCTACAGACTTTTGAGGTGGTCATTTGCCTTAAATTTTGGTAAAGTCTCTATTAAATCTAAGAATACTCTCCACTTTTATTGATTAGGCCGTATATTTTTTCGAGGAACCGTCATTTTACATATCTGATAGAATTGGCCGGAACCCAAATTTCCGTTAAATACACTCTAAAATGGCACTAGATAATAGAAATAATAAAATTATTTTTGAATGGCGTCAAAACGCAACGTATAAGCAGCGAATAGACGAGCAATTCATATCATTGTTTCCAAACAAGGAATTTTGAAGAAGTAGGTTGACCTCGTTATCGCAATTTGATCTTGTTGTCAGGGCGACTTAGTAGAACGCACCTAGTCCAAAGTCGTCCGCCATAGTAGTTGTCATAACTCTTGATACATTCTCAAACGTTTCACCGGCATTTTGATCGGCATCATCAGTGAGTTTTCCCATTCGCCGCACCAACCCACGAACTCGTCAAAGAGACAAGTGAAGCCAATCCCTCGACAAACGTTCTGCCGAAAACGTTTTGAGAATGTACCAAGTCCACTGTCTGATGCTGGGAATCATGACAACTATTATCGCAGACAACTTCAGACTAGGTGCGTTCTACTAACTAGCCCTGACAACAAGACCAAGTTGCGACAACGAGATCAACCCACTTCTATAAATCGAACGGAGACTGCGACCACACCAGAGGCCACAACATCTTGGTTTTCATATCTTCAAGGAATTCTGAGCCTACTTCCATTTCGAGTGAAAGTGTTTGTCATCATTGACCAGCTGTCAATTAATTGGCTTGACTGGAACATTCATGTTGACGCTGTTTCCGAGGTATCTACTTCTATTCCAGTGAAAACGTGCTAAGCTTTCGTTTGTCATATGAAAAACATCATTAGAGCAATGTATCATCCTTACAACCAAATTCAAGCAAAGGAAAAAACGAAAAGAGTTTTCTTCAATCGTTACTTTGAATTTAGTTGCTAGGATGATATATTGCAATGATGATATTCTTCATATGACCAACTAAATCTAAGAAGATTACCTCGGAAACAGCGTCACATAAAGCCAATCGACAGCTGATCAAGTGGAATCCGCCGTCGTCTTATGGTCGAATGGACCTTG